TGGAGAGTGTGTTGTCACTCTGGATCCTTATGCATAGATCTAAGTATGAAACAGATGAGGCGGTTACACGGGTCTCCTTTATTTCTAGATCAGGTGGGTAAATCAGTGGACGGGAATTGGCTTTTTGGTGGTCATTCAACGATATCAGATCATCGACACACCTGAAACTGAAGTTAAACTTCTTGGCCAAATTACCTTGTTTTGACTTTCTGAGCAGAAATTCTGATTAATATGCATAAAGAAACAGATCTGCAGAAAGGGGAGTGCAAGTGGTGCCCATGGGAAAACCACGCTTAAAGTGAGGGGTGTTTTATATGTACTCACTGCCATTTATCTGAAAACCATAGCGGCATTGAGGCGGACTGAAAGTAGTACCGCCATAAAGTGCTGTTCTCTCTCAATAGAATATTTATTTAAATAGCGACTTTATAGTATCTTCAGTGACGGACCAAGACTCCGTCGACAACCCCCTTGCGTCCTACATATGCCCAGACACCACATCGTCTACAACGCACTCACTGACGAAGTGTCTGGTATTCACACAGAATGCTTTAGACAAGAGGGATGACTTCAACTTTCCCTTCATGTCGAGCAATATTCCAGAAGCTCCAGCTTTTGGTGTCTACATTTTGCAACTTTTGAGATACAATCGAGCATGCTCTTTCTACCAAGATTTCAAGATTTCACACGGCTCTTGCTCAGAAGTTGTTTGATCAAGGTTACAACATTCAAAGCCCCAGTAAAGCTTTCAAAACGTTTATATTAGACATGTGGAGGACATTTTCAAATTTAATGCATCAGTGACGAAAACAATGTCCAATGCAATTCCCTATTTTGTACCATATGTTCCCGAGGTTTTTTTCAGGTAGACAATTGACTTGCCTTTGCACGTGTTTGTGACGGGTGCCACCGGTGGGGCAGGATATGCTTTTCGCGAACACCTGGTATCATTACTATTTGATAGTGATTCGTAAACACATGCTCATGATATAGTCGGAATTGTACAATCGAGATATCTATTGGATATGGAAAGGGTTTTGTCGGTTTATTCACAACACGGATATCTCATGACGTATTTCCAACGCCAAATTTATCAGAGTATTATAACCAATCGACCTTCACCTGTGGGAGTTCGTATTACAAAAGTAATCTCCCCTTTACAACGTATTATCCATTGACGCCAGAGCGTCGAAATGTTCCCCACATTCAAGTCATCCGAAGGCCTTTTTATTAAGTTTGTGTTATAGAATTTTTTATATTTATGTATCGTGACTAATCGTGAATAATCATAAGAAATGTTTGTTCGTATGAATAAACTATCGATTAATAGCGCATGTTCTAATATCTACTTAATTTATGATTATACGTCATATAGTTGTAGGGGCGGTCGGGTAGCCTAGTGGTTAAAGCGTTCGATCGTCACGCCGAAGACCCGGGTTCGATTCCCGACATGGGTACAATGTGTGAAGCCCTTTTCTGGTGTCCCCCGCCGTGATATTGCTGGGATATTGCTAAAAGCGGCGTAAAACCATACTCACTCACTCATATAGTTGTACAGTCGAGTGTAACATCAAACAGTAAACTTAAACATGTGACACTGTGAGAAAACTGTTTTACGGGGCAAGACCGCATTAACGTCTTCACCATAGAGTATGGTACAGGGTACAAAACACAATCGCGATAATCTCCATTTATTCACTTTGTCCAACATAACCATTTATACACCGAAATCTGATCTGTTGCAGATTACCTCTGTGAAATATTGCACTCACTGCTACTACATTAAATAAATGGAATTAAGCAAATCTATATCTAAATTTCAGTAATTTGGTTTTCTTTATTTGAATCATAGAACACTTTCCCCTGTTTAATGCTATATACTGACTGTTGCGTTGACTGGAGTGCTGCGATACCAGATTGAATCTCATTCAGGCAATCTGATTTTCATTACCACCAGTCCTCAAAACCGAATTACATTTAATACGATTAATGGTATTATTTAGACGTGAAATACCAGCCGTGTTCCCCAGGGTCTCCACTAGACGGAAACATAGTACAGCTCACTCAATGTGGTGACGGGGAACAGGGCATCGCTCTGATGCAACCTACAGCCGGCGAGATGGCGTGTTGGTAGATGGACAATCACTGCTTTCCCAATACTTGGCTAATCGGTATGTGCTTTCTACGCTTATTGTATCATATTCATAGAAGTTGACCGTGCCGTGGAGTGAGTGAGTATGGTTTTACGCCGCTTTTAGCAATATTCCAGCAATATCACGGCGGGGGACACCAGAAATGGGCTTCAGACATTGTACCAATGTCGGGAATGGAACCCGGCGTGACGAGCGAACGCTTTAACCACTAGGCTACCCGACCGCCCCTCGGGGAATAAAAGGGGCCCAGTATGTAATTTTGTCACTGATCATGCGTTCAGTCACTGGTTCGTCTGGTACATCCTACCGTGCTATAGCTGGGACAGTGGTGACTTTGAACTTTAACCGGCGTTCCCATCCACTGTATATTACAAATGCAGTGTATACCTTGGACTGAATTGATTGAAAATAAAATTCAATAAAAAAAAGTAAAACTGATAGATTGTAGATTTTTAAAATATTATTTTGAATCGTTATTCAATAAATGCGTATTTATGTAATGAGAACAGGTACATTATATATAGGTAACATAGGCTATCAGACCCGGGGTAGAATAGGTCTTCAGCAACCCATGCTTGCCGTGAAAGGCGACTATGCTTGTCGTGAAAGACGACATATAGCTGGAATATTGCTGAGCGCAGCGTTAAGCAAAAAACAAATAAACAATATAGGCTATCAAAACCACGTGCATTGATTCTCTATCGTGTCAGTTGGGATCAGTTGAAACGTGATGCATATGTACATTACTGTAGGGGGCTGTCAGGAACATGTGTAGAACTGATAATGATTGCCAATAATTGCACCAACTGTTGTAAGTCTCTGTTTAAAAAAAGAACTCTACCAATAGATCTCAGCGCTCCGACTGCAGATAGGCCATGTTTAAATGACTGTATTGGAGATCCATTAAGTGATTTTAGCTCTATGAGTTGTGTAACGTACAGAACTTGTGTAACGTACAGAACTTGTGTAACGTACAGAACTTGTGTAACGTACAGAACTTGTGTAACGTACAGAACTTGCGTAACGTACAGAACTTGTTTAACGTACAGAACTTGTGTAACGTACAGAACTTGCGTAACGTACAGAACTTGTGTAACGTACAGAACTTGTGTAACGTACAGAACTTGTGTAACGTACAGAACTTGCGTAAAGTACAGAACTTGTGTAACGTACAGAACTTGTGTAACGTACAGAACTTGTGTAACATCGAGCTCTTCGGTCGTTTGGTGCGGCCTCGCGTGTATAGCTTTGTTTTCGTTGCTGTAACACTTTCTTGAAGCTTATTGACGTAAATATCAAACCATTTAACATTCAACTATGTAAGATAAAGCATGCGTAATACTTTGATGAAAAATGTATCTTAACTCCTTGACACATAACAGACAGTTACAGTTTTATACCAGAGGTAGAATAAAAGGAACGCCGACATTAGTTCCAGGGTGTGTATGCTTGTTTGTCGATCATCTAAATGACTCACCCAGCATACACAAAGACGTTGCTACAACGTTTCGTTTTTGCTGTGGCAACGTTATGATGTAACATTTCCCAAATACTTTCCTGCAGCATTGCATTATTATACACCTTTATTCATGACTGGCATGCCTGTCATAGATTCTCATCGCTTCTTGACAGGGCTGATATTAACATGAAGTGCGTGAAAAGTTCCATTTAAATACTGTAGTGTTAGTGATGTGGTTCTCTGAGCGGTCGACCCGTGAAGATCCGGGGTAGAATAGGTCTTCAGCAACCCATGCTTTCCGTAAAAGGCTACTATGCTTGTCGTAAGAGGAACTAACGGGATCGGGTGGTCGCTGACCTGGTTGATGCATGTCATCGTATCCCAGTTTCGTGGATTGATGCTCATGATGTTAATCACTGGATTGTCTGTTCAAGACTCGATTATTCACAGACCGCCGTCATAGAGCTGGAATATTGCTGAGTGCAGCGTTAAACAACAACCAACCAACAAGTCTATACGGTCTGACTGTACTTTGGAAATGGCGGTCAAGAGACAGAGCTGTTGTTGACCCCTATTTTCGAATATCGGTATTGTTTTCTTTTATCATTTAAATAAATGCATTAGGTTTAAAAAGTACTTCTTCATATCTAGGACTGCATTTAAATTGTGAATAATTATTTTTACGAAAATAACCATAAATGATACTTGGGTGAGTGAGTTGGGTTTAATGCCGCTTTTAACAGTATTACAGTTATATCGCGGCGTGTCAGCTTAATGTGGGAGGAAAGCCCGAAGTGATGCAGGTCTCAGACGTTTACCACTTCGGTGAAACCCACGAGCACGGGTATGGTGCTGAAAAACCTCGAAACATAATCGGGGCGAACCGGGATTCGACCCCACAATCATAGATTTCTGGCGTGCCCAAGGGACCAACCCTGCACAGCGAATCGCGACGCCTTAGACGGTGGGCCACCCGTACCCCCTGATACTTGGGGTTGTAATGCAACGTTGTCACAACAATACCGAACGTTACGTTACAACGTAACATGCCCACAACGTTGTGGTAGCGTTGTGTATTTGCTGGAAATGTATTTATTTATATCTTGCCTACTGACTTAAACATTAATATGTATTCGTTGAATGTTAATATATAAAAGTTGTGATTCGTTTAACTACATTATCGTGTATCCAAAAAGAGTGAGTGAGTATGGTTTTACGCCGCTTTTAGCAATATTCCAGCAATATCACGGCGGGGGACACCAGAAATGGGCTTCACACATTGTACCCATGTCGGGAATCGAACCCGGGTCGTCAGCGTGACGAGCGAACGCTTTAACCACTAGGCTACCCGACCGCCCCCGTATCCAAAAAGAAAATATATATCATCGTGTAGTGAAATGACGTATCAAATGTTTATTATACAAATTTGGCAAACACATGGGACACTTTACATAGACAGGTGTATACGATATATTGGAATAGGTCTCAGTATCATGATAACAACAACATTCGGCGTGGTAAGCCATGATCAAGGTGACTGAACCGTATCACATTATAGTAGGAGAGTTTGGTAAGTATTTGGAGAAAATTGAACATACATTTGATTGATAATGAACATATAATTCAAAGACGCACAAGACATTCACCTGACAGACGATATCTCCTCCCCAGAGCCAGGGATGAATGACACATGTAGCTTTCATTGTAGACTTCTCCAGCCTCTTGACTATATTACACCACTGCACTGGACAAAATGTGTGTCGTTATTCTCAGTTTGAAAAGAAGAAGCGAAACGTGGTTATTACGAAGCCTCTTCCCCAAGCAGTGGTAAAGCACAAATTAAATAATGAACCTCGGATTAAATACATTATATTGGGGGACATTTAGACTAGAGTTGGCTATTCTGTGACGTCCGGTCAAGCGTCATAAGGCCTACCGCTGCTTCTCCTTGATTATTTACGAGCCATGTTTGTGGGTTTCACCGCTGGAGAACGCCTACGACCATCACCTCTCAGTTTGTTCTTCCAACATTCAGCGGGCACGCCGTGTGATAACTTATATACTGTAATGCGGCATTAAATTCCAGCTCACTCACCCATTCTCTCTGGACTCGTGGCTGCAATAGTGAAGGTGTTACAGATTATAGTTAATGACATAAACATGTATGACACAGCTTCAGCAATACCTGATAATTATCATCATTATTATCATTACTATCATTATTATCATCATCAAGTATTAAGTGTCACTGGGTCTGTCACAGGCGACGATGGGTATATGATGACACTGACACACACAACGAAGCACCAATCAGTGCCTTGTTTCCATTATAACCACGAGTACACAGACAAGCACAGTTTGTAAGGCGGGACAGGGAGAAAGGGCACTACTTGGTCGGACCTCGGGAGGGGGTGCCGGGACAGCCGTGAAACTGACTGGTTGACACGATACGGGCGTGTGTGGCAGCAACCTCCACGACTGGAACAGCATGTTCACCTCGTACAACATGGCCCCCATTGTCCAGTCTGAAACAGCAATCACAGTCACACAGTTACATCAGTGATACTTACACGATAATGTACACCCTACATTGCACAACACCAGTTTGAAACATCTATCACTTGGTAAATGCAGTTTCATGTTGTGGTACTTACACGATAATGCTGTGAATATTACAGTGTAAAATACCAGTCCGAAAAACCAATCGCCTGGTAAATACATAGTTTCATGTTGTGGTACTTACACGATAATGTTGTACACAATACATTGCACAACACCAGTTTGACACATCTATCACTTGGTAAATGCAGTTTCATGTTGTGGTAGTTGCACCATAATGCTGTACAAAATACAGTGTAAAATACCAGTCTGAAACACCAGTCGCCACGTAAATACACAGTTTCATGTTGTGATAGTTACACGATAATGCTGTGAATATTACAGTGTAAAATACCAGTCTGAAACACCAGTCACCTGGTAAATACACAGTTTCATGTTGTGGTAGTTTCACGATAATGCTGTGAATATTTTAGTGTAGAATACCAGTCTGAAACACCAGTCGCCTGGTAAATACACAGTTTCATGTTGTGATAGTTACACGATAATGCTGTGAATAGTACAGTGTAAAATAACAGTCTGAAACACAAGTCACCTGGTAAATACACAGTTTCATGTTGTGATAGTTACACGATAATGCTGTGAATATTACAGTGTAAAATACCAGTCTGAAACACCAGTCACCTGGTAAACACACAGTTTCATGTTGTGGTAGTTTCACGATAATGCTGTGAATATTACAGTGTAAAATACCAGTCTGAAACACCAGTCACCTGGTAAATACACAGTTTCATGTTGTGGTAGTTACACGATAATGCTGTGAATATTACAGTGTAAAATACCAATCTGAAACACCAGTCACCTGGTAAATACACAGTTTCATGTTGTGGTAGTTACACGATAATGCTGTGAATATTACAGTGTTAAATACCTGTCTGAAGCACCAGTCACCTGGTAAATACACAGTTTCATGTTGTGGTAGTTACACGATAATGCTGTGAATATTACAGTGTTAAATAACAGTCTGAAACACCAGTCACTTGGTAAATACACAGTTTCGTTTTTAGGGGTAGTTGCACGATAATGCTGTACACAATACAGTGCAAAATACCAGTCTGAAACATCTACCATGTTGTACACAGCACGCAGTTTTAGCTCATGGCAGTTACACGACAGTGTACACAACACGGCGAACTCACGTTCCGTCGATGTAATAATTGGGTGAGTGATCACAGCTTTACGGGGCTTTTAGCCATATTCCAGAAACAAGAATGTACTTTACATATTGCACCCTTCAGGGGATTCGAACCCGGGTCCTCGGCGTGACAAACAAACGCATCAACTACCAGACTATGCCTCCGTCCTAACTGAGATGAAGTAACAGGGTCATGGCGAAGGGAAAGTTAATGTGGCAACACACAGGGATAATATTAGTCATAATGATGCAGTACGTTATAATTTTCAACCCAAGCCCTCTCTCTCTTAAGCACTGGTTCGTTCGTTACGCCAAAAGCCCGGATTGGATTCCCTGTGTGAAGCCATTCCCGGTGTCCCTCGTCGTGACATTGCTGATATCACTCTCTTTTTCGCCAACGCCTTGTATCATCACTATTTGTCAGTGATTCCTGAACACTTGCTTATGACATAGTCAGAATCACACAGTGGACTCTACTTTAAGCATTTATGTTTTAGGCGCGTTTTACTTTGTAAACAGAAATGGAAATAGTAACAAGAATCAAACATGACTTACCAATTTTGTTTCCCTGAATGCTATCTTCGACAACGATGTTACTGGTCTGGGGATCGAACTGGTAGGACTCTTGCAACAAGAGTGGTATGTACAGCCCCATCATGCACTCGTCAGAGGCGAACTTGGCCTTCACAGAGTATTCGGCCTTGACGGCCTCAAAACTCTGCAACAGAACGGTGGAAACTAACAGATTGAACATACGGAACTGTCAAGGATCACGAGATTTCTGGAAACCATGGACCCAATGTCCAGAGCTCAAGTTCTACCCTAACCCTTCCAGGGTCCCGTGCTAACAATATTACTGAGGTAACAACAAATTATTTTTTGGTTCTGCGGAATCTCCTTAAAATTTTTCTATAATTTCATGAATAGGTTACCATACTGCGCGAAGTAAATACCTCATTAAAACGAGTAAGCATTTATAAGCTCTTTGTTTCAGTCAATAAAAAATAAAATATATAAAAAAACATCTTTTACAGCAGTTTATGTTTCAAAGAAAGGGTGAGCATTAACGTATTTATTAGTAAAACTAAGAAGCAAGAAATACTCATATCCACCGCCAATGGCATGTTCACGTGAGTGCAAGACTCAAGTCCATGACCACAGAAGCCATCTGGAACTTGTTGTAAAGAGTCAGGGACCCTGAATCAATATCTACTAGCTGACTGGTTTGGTTTTGGTTTGGTTTGGTTTGATGCTTTACGCCACACTCAGCAATATTCCAGCTATATGATGGCGGCCTGTAACTAATCGAGTCTGGACCAGACAATCCAGTGATTGATATCATGAGCATCGATCCACGCAATTGGGATCGATGAAAATAGCTGACTGGTACCCTTAAGCAAAAGGTGGTATAACAATGAGAAGATCACTGGGAGCAGTGGATATTATCGGATACTCAGTGTTATTCAATTAGTTTCGATGGAACTAGAAAAAAACACATGCAAGATAAACTCGATCAGCAATATGTCACGTAAAACAGGGCGTGATGAACCAGTGATTGACATTGTGAGCAGCCTACAACGCCGTCGGGGTATGATGACACACAGTCAGCCAAGTCACAACCTGATCAAACTGATCACTTCGCTTGTAGGTGCTGGAGGCACCATCGTCAATACCTCAGGGTCTTGTATACACTATGCTCCATTACAACCAGAGAAACCACACGGCCATTTGCGGTGTAGTGGTAGTGTGCCTAATCTTATCCAGGTAATGAAACGGCAGTCAAATGAACTTTGTACGAACCCCACCATTGCATGACAGTAAAACATGCTGGACATGATGTCAGGTGAGAAACATTTGCGTTTATGCGCTGTAAACAGAGGGCTCATTGGTCTAAGCACTCGCTGGTGGAACCAAACCGTCGCTTGATTCGTTGGTTAAAATACAGACTGCACCGCAAAGCTGCCGTATGTATTCAGGGCGATGGTTTAAGTATTGACGAACACTTTCCGACTAGACACATTAACTCACACGACTATATAATCATCATAAACAAATTCCCGTTAATCCGGACGCTACCGCTTCCGTTGAAATCGTCCGGATTAACGGATCGTGGGGAAAGAGACATATTCTATTGTAGAGAAACTGCCGGGCAAAATAAAGTATACACCCATGTTTGATGGTGGCTAACATTTAACAAACCAGAAATGTTTATTTGATGGCGATGCTTTTGTTACGGGTATCGTGGTTATCTTACGGGTATCTTATGTTTGAAGTGTTTCGGCGACTGTTTTACCCAAATAACGTTTTGTCAACGTATGCAATTTTTGGGTCAAATCCAATTTTTCAGAGTACGTTCTTTTGTCCGGCAATGTATGTAGCCTTTTCAAACAGTGATTGTCTGGATGTCGGGATTTCCAGATTAACGTGGTCTGGACTAACGAGGGTTAACTGTTGTAGATTAAATAAAGCTCGAGGTTTATATTGACTTGCTTCTCCGTCACATATACGTCGTGTCGTGTACGTGAATTACCTTCTCACAGTAGACAATAGACGCTGCTTTTAGATGAGTAATATTCAGGTGTTTGTCGGCATCTAAAGACCCCATTGTCTTGGGCGTGTAGACGAATCCCTGGGTAGCGTAGAAAGACATACTGCCGATACTGGGCTGGTACACGGAGCCTATTGCACACGGCTTCGGGAAACACCGGTCATCCGGGGCCTTCGACACCAGCTGACGTAATACTTGTAAACATTTACTCGGCTCACTTGTTCCTTGAAACTTTAATGGCTGTCCAGAATCAGTGGTCCCATTTTCATCATCACCTGTAATCAGAGTCACAAATAAATGATGCATTATGTACATTCTCCGATGTCATGTTATAAAAAAGCGTAAAACACGACCAACACCTTATTAAGACGCATGGTTATGATCCTAGTGATAACATGAACAATATTTTAACGCAAGGTTTACTTTATGAATTATTATATTATGGCCAAAAATATTGATATATTTATATAAGAGACGTGGGTCAGTGTTGAGTGTAGCACATTAATATACAGTAAACTACGGTTATAACGAACTAAGAGGTATCACTAATTTTAGTTCGTTATAACCGTAGTTCGTTATAGGCACATATACATCCTATATACAGCAAATGGACAGGACCCCAAAACAGTTCGTAATATCCGTCAGTTCGGTATAAGCGTGTTCGTTATAAACGCAGTTTACTGTACCACTGACATAACAAAGCAAACAGAGCACACCAGCTGTAATATAGTCGCACAGGGGACAGTGACAGTACATGACCTCCCCATCAGTGCTTAACCGGATATATCCCGACTGATAATATATCATTGATGAGAAATTAGAAATAAAGGCAGGACAGAACTCTCTAATCGAAATTTAATGACAAGTAGTAATGAATCAAAGGGAATTTTCGAGTGTACGTATACATTTTGTAGTCAATAAAGCATCCATCGCTCGTTGCAAGTTGTTTGTGTGTAGCAGATCCTGTTCGAGTCGTGGTTATTAATGACCCCTTTAACTAGAATGTAACCCTTATTTTCCACCGTTTATTAGCAAGGAACGTTCAGGCAGATGAACGGTTACCATTGTGTATTTCGCTGGGAATTCCTACAGTCAGTAGATCGAGAAAGCCAGTCATATATCGAGTCATCTCCAGTCACTGAATGTATTTTCAGTCAGTGCCTTGTTAATTTATGAGCGAACATAAATTCTGAAAAAAAACAGGTTGACAAATTCACCTTGGGCCAAAGCGGGGTGAAAACGCATCACAAAAAGGTACATTGTCAACTGATGTAATCCTTCAGCTTCAACAGTATCTATGGTTTCACATCGCGTTTCTTGATCACTCCTAACAATTTGTATACCTTCAAAGACTTGTGCCTAAAGTTGTGACCTTTTAACCTCCATATACACCGAACATACAGGCTTTCTGAACAATCGGATAATTTCAAAACCATGTGAAGAGCTTGTACCGCGAGCGGAATATAACTATGTGTGTGTTTTGATAGCCTTGGGAGGGTTAACAGGGAGCAAGTCACAAATCACCAAGATCTAAAGTCAACACTTCGCCAGGCATGACATTTGATGGAACACATAACATGAACTTTGAAATTCTCCAGGAATTGAAAACCCCTTCGCGAAACCACAAGACACGTGTGTTTGGTTGGAGGTCGGATGGCGATGATTTATATAAGTATACAATCTTGATACACTTACGTGGCAACCATACGCTTCGAGGCCAAAGAAAAGGATGAAAGAAACGGTCTACATTTTGTTTTAATCTTTTGCATCCTATCTGAATGCTTTACAGGGTGATGAGGTATATGAAGAATTAACGAGGGATAATGCTCCACTAGACTAACATTTAGTCTCTGAAATCTTATATTACATAATATCCTTCTTGACTGAAGAAATTCCCTTTGCTGAGGAATAGAGCTAGCTTGAGCTGGCTAGACTTGCTTTTGTATGCGTTTCTAGATTTATTTATTCTCATAAAATAAATATAATCCACGGTCATGGTGCAGAACTAATGCTCCACGTGTGGTGCCCATAACAGGTATGGGTGTCGACGTTGTAATCAGTACCGTGTGTGAAGCTGCATTGTCTAGATGTAAGTTCGGTTATCATTAACTCCATCGTAGACTATCATTTAGTCTCTGAAATCATATATTACACAATATCCTTCTTGACTCTAAAAATTAAAAAAGATTCCCTATGCTGATGTGGTGTAGAGCTAGCTTGAGCTGGCTAGACTTGCTTTTGTATGCGTTTCTAGATTATTTTTCTTAATAAAATAAATATATTCCACGGTCATGGTGCAGGACTAACTCCATCGATATACCTCAAAATGTGTATGAGCAGGATCTCAAATAACTGGAACTGCCATTTACCAGAGCCATGTCATATTTAAAGCGGGGCAAGGTTTGAACCATCTGGCAGTTATAGCAAGTTTGATTCAAGCTATTAGGAACCCGCTTCTGCTAAACTTAAATTGTATCAAAAGGTAATACTCAACCATACCATGGAGCCCCCCTTTAATACATCGAACATTGTTTTTTTTGTGTGAAGCTGATTCTAGCCAAGGGGATTTCCGTTCAACCAGAAGGCAGGGGAAAAAAATACAGGATGTTGAAATGCTTCCCCCCAAAACAAGATAAGATTGTTTTGATAAGTATTTCCTTCATATATCACAATATTAGCTGATGATAAGATGAATGAAGCTGTCAGCGGCCGTACCTCATTAATCTCGTCAAGGATGAGCCGGACACTCAGACACACATCCTCTGTATGTGTACACAGATGGTGAAGATTTAAGCCGCAAATTGCATTTCTTCTAATAAATATAGCGACAAAATCCTTTCCATATCCAATAGAAATCTCTATATAAAGAAGAGTCGATTGTACAATTCCGACTATATCATGAGCATGTGTTTATGAATCACTATCAAATAGTAATGATACCAGGTGTTCGCGAAAAGGTGGGCGTATCCTGCTCCACCGGTGGTACCCGTCACAAACACATGCGGAGGCAAGTCAATTGTTCACCTGAAAAAACATGATATTTGATGATTATGCTCATGATTTTGCTTATGATGCAGTCGAAATTGCACAATGGACTCTGCTCTTGGCAGTGATTTCTTATGATTATGGAAATTGTTCTGACGCTTTTATTCTTATAAAGTCTTGGTATGCAGTCACCATCAAACTATGTTCCCTGATAAGTCTCTGGCGGGCTGGTATCTAATCAAGGTTTTCACCTGCACGTTTATGGGTTTCTCTCATCACCTCTTTTCTGGCCCACTGGGAATTCCGGGTTAGAGCAGCCCCAGGACCCCCGGCTTGTCAGAGCCTGCTACAGCTAGGCCCGTGTGCTCACTGTGACGTGGAGTATTGTGTGCAATCGTACCTGTGCGTTATCATTGATCTTGCTATCAACCATGCTTTGCCTTGCCAAGAATTGATATGTGCACTCAATTTGTTTTAGCTGAATAATTGCTCACTGTTTACTGACTCACTCGCATGTGCTTCTCGTTCGACATCCCTAACTCTCGGAAACCCGTAACTTTCAGACACCCGTAAGTCTCCGACTTCCGTAACCCTCAGACACCCGTAACTCTCCGACTTCCGTAACTCCTCAGACACCCGTAACTCCTCAGACACCCGTAACTCTCGGACTCCCGTAATTCTCATACAAAAGTAATTCTCATAACCCGTAACACTCCGATTTCCGTAACTCTCGGACAACCATAACTCTCCGACATCCATAATTCTCGGACATCTGTAATTCTCATAAATCGTAACTCTCCGATTTCCGTAACTCTCAGACGCCCGTAACTCTCAGACTCCCGTAATTCTCGGACAAGTGTAATTCTCATAACCCGTAACTCTCCGATTTCCGTAACTTAAGTCTCGGATATCCGTAACTCTTCGACATCCGTAACTCTCGGACACCCGTAAGTCTCATAAACCCGTAACTCTTCGATTTCCGTAGCTCTTAGACTCCCGTAACTCTCCGACATCCGTAATTCTCGGACATCCGTAACTCCCGGACACCTGTAACTCTCGGACACCCGTCACTCTCAGACTCCCGTAACGCTCATACAACCGTAATTCTCATACACCCGTAACTCTCCGACTTCCGTAACTTTCCGACAACCGTGACTCTCCGACCCCCGTAACTCTCCGACATCCGTAACTCTCGGACACCCGTAACCTACGGACACCTGTAACTCTCAGACTCCCGTAACTCTCAGACTCCCGTAACTCTCCCACAAACCTAAATATTTAGTAACATGTACACCAACGGGTTATAATCACCCGTGTGTCCCCTGTACCATGTAGCCTTATATAGGTATCAGTCAGATAATTGACATAAGCTGTATTCCCCAGTCACCGTTGATCCGCAAGTCGCCGGCGTCTCTGACTGACCTATAAGCCTGCATGGATGGTCAATCTGTTGAGACTCCGGACTGGACGCCTTTAGAATGTTCTTCACCCGTTCCTTGATATAGTTGGCTCCGTAAAATAGGTAGCTGTGTGCGTACAGGTCAAACCGGCGTCCCCCGAGGAAGATCTGGAACTCCCCCGCATACAGAGGGGTGGATGGGATGAAGGCAATCTGAGTGGAGCCCCCGCCCATCTCCAGCAACCCCAGAGACTCGTTCATTGGTCTGCGAACACAACATGAATGTAGCGAAGTGACAATATTTCATAGACTAACATTTAGTCGAAGAAAGCATTTCTTGAAAATATAATTGTAATTTAATTAAAATAATTGCAATTGCTAGGAACCTAGGAAACTATACTTGGCTTAATTTGATCTAGACTTGCCTTGTCATTTAGTAATATAAATACCCATTATATATATATATATATATATATATATATATATATATATATATATATAATACTTATATAACAATATATGATAATATTTGTAATGGGTAAGATATATATTACTAAAAGCCGATATATATATATAAATATAAAGGCGCAGGACTAAATACTTCACTGTTGCGTCAGTGGTTTTGGTGAGTGGTTGTAGATGAGTAGATGAGTACGTTTTTTGTTTGTTGTTTAAACATCGCATTTAGCCACATTCCAGCAACATGACGGCGGTCTGCAAGTAATCGGGTCTAGCCAGACAATCCAGTGACTGGATTAACATTAATTTACACTGTCATACGTTTTACATTGGACGGTTCAATGTAAAACGGTTCGTATCCAAGGTGATGTTCAAAATACACCGAATGTGTTTATTTAGTTTAAAACACACATAATATGTTTATGTATTTTAATAAACGGTGTATGCCGTGTTGTGATATCAATGATTCTGTGAGATGAACCGAGAACCGCACGTAAGTGAGGCAATATAGATAACATTGATGTTTCAGTAGAAATGTTGAAAATGATAATATTTTCTGATAGGGCATTAATCACTAAAAGACATATCGCAATTAGGTGCTACATCAAGTGATATGTTACCATGGAGACGTATGTACTAATCTCATCTCCATTAGACATGTTTCTGAAAATGAACACATAATCGTCTATATGTGAGATAAAATTCAAATGTTTTCTGATAACAAGCTCCTCATGTTGAAAGAGTGGCAAGAGTCTGCCTCGCAATGTTTACGCATGCCTTGATCCCCTATTGCATGTTCACCATGGATCTTGAAGACCGGTAAAAGAACAACAGTTTTATGTTATATGTTGTAGCTCTACCGTAATACGGCGGAATACACCATCGGTCAGGGTTACATGTACTGTTACGGAAAGACGGCTGTGTTGCTGATTTCACGAGAAAGACTGGTATTTGGGTTCAAGACTAATTACTTGATCCATACTTTCAAAACATTTTCACTCTCAGGGAAAGCTTAGTTATAAGAGGAGAGGGGGCACGGGTGGCCCAGTCGTCTTAGGCGCCGCGATTCGCTGTGCAGAGTTGCGTCCCTTGGGCACGCCAGAAACCTATGAGTGTGGGTTCGAATCCCGGTTCGCCCCGATTATGTTTCTAGGTTTGTCAGCACCATACCCGTGCTCGTGGGTTTCACCGAAGTGGTAAACGTCTGAGACCTGCACCGCTTCGAGCTTTCCTCCACATTTAGCTGACACGCCGCGATATAACTGGAATACTGTTAAAAGCGACGTTAAACTAAGAGGAGAATAGTGAGTGAGTGAGTTTGATTTTACGCCGCTTTTAGCAATATTCCAGCAATATTAAGTGGAGAATAAGTTCCTGAATGTGATATGTCCCTACTATAACACACCGTCTTTCAGGAAGTCTTGCCGGCCGTACAGGAAACCCTTTTGTAAACACCTGGTGTTATTCGAATCAATTCAACCGATTCATAAGTGTTAATTTTTTAAATTAGTCTCATCCATTGTAGGTTTTTTTCTCCCATGTACAGGTCATATATTACATGTCACTTATAAACTACTGAAAGAAAAAAAAGAAATGCATAGACCATATTTTCTCATCTGAACTAAGAGGAATCCTGAATCTCTGTACAATTGTTATGTCCATGCTTAACGTTAACTTAAGTCGTTTCCGAGTTTAAATCCACTGCGGGTGGTCGGGTAGCCTAGTGGATAAAGCGTTCGCTCGTCACGCCGAAGATCCGGGTTCGATACCCGACATGGGTACAATGTGTTAAGCCCATTTCTTGTGCCCCCGATACTGCTGTAATATTACTAAAAGCGGCGTAAAGCCATACTCACTCACTTACTCATCCATTGCCACTGTTTACCAATCGCCAAAACGCAACCACGTCCGTTTTTATCAATAAAGGGCGCGAGAGAAAGAATTTCATGCGTTTTTAGCACGTACATCGTGTGTATCATTATCAATAAATAACATGGGGTCTGCTTGCTTTAGAGACAGTTTAAAGACGTGAATTCTCATGTGAAGTTATGCCTAAACTTTCAGAGACGCAGCGAAAACATTGGGCGTTTAGAGGCTGGCGAGTCGCGATCGGGATAGGGAGGCTTTGGCACAGATTTCAACAACATGGAACAACACGTGATCGGCCTCGTTCTGGAAGACCACGTGTCACCATACCCGCACAGGACAGGTTCATCCGTCTACGACAATTACGGAACAGATTTGCAACAGCAATCTCAACCACATCTGCTTAACCTGGACTCCGGAGAATCTCCGATCAAACCGCCAGGAACCGTCTGCGTGACGCTGGTATACGTCCAAGGAGACCAGCGCGCCCAAGGAGACCGCATCCGCGCCAACTATGCAGACAGTGGTGTTTAAACCATCTCAGCTGCCCATTACAGAGATGCCAAGAAAAATGCCAAGATTAACTGCAGCTGACCGAAATGGAAGCAGGGGAGTCCCAGTCTGCCGTTGCAAGACACTTCAACGTTCACCAAAGCACCATGGGATCTCGACTATGGGATCGATATACCCGCACTAATACGACTCAAGATCATCCCAAAAGTGGAAGACCAAGAGTGACCACCCCTGCTCAGGATCGGTACATCTGGTTGCATCACCTTCGGAATCGATTTGTTACAGCAACGGACACTGCAGGACAAGTGCCTGGTATGCGAAGAATTTCCGACCAAACCATCAGATATCGTCTGAGGGAAGTGGGAATTCGAGCGAGACGACCAAAAGTTGGACCTGTCTTGCGACGTCTACACCGTCAACAACGTATCCGGTGTTGCAACAGAGTACAGGCATGGAATCTCAGGAACTGGCGACGCGTTTCGTTAAGCGATGAGTCACGTTTTCTTCTTTAACGACGGGTGGAAGACAACGTGTATACCGACGTCGACATGGACGTTTTGCGCCGAACTGCGCCAACTACGCAGACAGTGGTGTTTAAGCAATCTCAACTGCCCATTACAGAGATGGAGAACCGTCTTTTTCAGTGACGAGTCACGGTTTCTACACAGACGTCCTGACGGAAGACCACGACTTTACCGCCGCCGCCATGAACGGTATGCTCCGAACTGCGTGCAGGAAGTGGACAGATTTGGTGGTGTGAGTTTTATGGTATGGGCGGGCATCTTGTACAGTGGGAGAACGGTGCCCCCGATATTGCCGTAATATTGCTAAAAGCGGCGTAAAGCCCTACTCATCCAGGTGCAAGGCAATCTCACAGCGCGGCGTTACTGTGATGAAATCAGACCTCACGTCATATCCATTCATGAACCGTCAAAACGTCATTTACCAGCATGACATACTCGACCCCATACCGCAAGATTAACCACAGGTTTCCTGCCCCAGAACAACATTCAGGTTCTTCCTTGACCATCAAGATCACCAGATCTCAACCCAACTGAACATTTATGGGACGAATTGGATTGACGTGTGCGACGCCATCCCAAGCCGCAGACCTGACCGGCTTTGCCTTTGGCTTTTCGGGATGTGTGTCAGAACATTCCAAAACTTGTAATCCACAATCTGATTCAGTCTGTGGGAAGACGATGCCAGACAAGCATGCACTTGTGGTGGTCATAACCGTTACTGACAGTCTTTGACCTTGACCTTTCTTTATGTGTCCTTTGTTGTCTCAACATCTGCAGTGATCTCAACATGTGTAACAGTGTTTTGTTCCTAATGGTCATGTAACTCCTATGTTTGCACTTGTAAATATATGACCCGTATAGATCCGGGTAGAGAATAGGTCTTCAGCAACCCACGCTTGCCGTAAAAAAGGTGACTATGCTTGTCGTAAGAGGCGACTAACGGGATCGGGTGGTCAGGCTCGCTGACTTGGTTGATGCATGTCATCGTATCCCAATTGCGTGGATCGATGCTCACGATGTCAATCACTGGATTGTCTGGTCTAGACTTGATTATTTACAGACCGCCGTCATATAGCTTGGATATTGCTGAGTGCGGCGTTATACAACAACAAACCATCTTATAAATATATTAAACAAATTACCTATGCGTTTCTTTTGAGTAGTATATTTCAGAAATCAGCCCTCTAACACTCCAGCACTAAAAAGCGTGAGTAAATTGTGTTTATATATCACGACATGTCCACTTATTGATGAAGAAATAAAATTGTTGGATAATAACAATCCTTGTTAACGACCCAACAACAATCCATTTTTATTTGGCGCTTTTCTATACTGGTTATCATGTTCAGTGCGCTCAGAGATGGATCAGTGTGGACTCCCTTTTCATTCTCAGCTCCATGGGGAGTATACAAAAGCACAACGTGACTTTAATGTACTCAGCGAGCACGGGCATGATGCTGACAAACCAAGGATGATAACCACAGAGGAAGACATTTATACTCACTTGACCGAGTCGAAGAATCCGTTGACAGCGTTGAGCGATATCCAGGCAAACACACCTTCCTCTTCGCCAGACAATATCCGGACATTTCTACCTCTAAACCGGAATGGGTTTAATGTCGTATTTGATAAAACATTCCTAATCCGGTTTAATAGGCCAAGGGCAATGTGGCCGTCTAAAATCCGGGCACCTGAAACATACAAATTATTCAATATATTTCAAGCTCACTGGCCTGGAGATTAAAGCGCTGGTTCGCGGAGACCCGGGTTCTATTTCTGGGGTTTTCCCCGCCCACTCACTCATGACTGCACACCAGTTGTTCTTTAGATATTGGCTTGGAACATATAACGCATGTGTTTCAGTGAATTCCAGTGAAAGTGAGTGTAGACTACCAAAGTTGTATGTCGTTGTCTGTTGCTCAGTATCAAGCAAGTAACATTCAGTAGGAAGCAAGTAACATTCTGTAGGGAACAAGTAACATTCTGTAGGGAACAAGTTAAAAGTGCATCTGTCTATCCGTTCATCCATGCATATCTATGATCCTACTTTGTGGAAAAAGATATGGTTAAGGCCCATATAATCTAATTTCTAAACTAAACTATTCATAGATGATCTATAAACGCATGAGTAAATCTGATCCCAGATGATCTAAAGCATGAGTTCACCATCTTCCCGAGGCAAGTGAGTTAACTGACTATAAAAGTCCAGTTTCCACCCATGCCGAACTAGGCTGGTGTTATGGAGTTACATTTTGGCTGGACTAACGAGTCTATGCATAGTCCAATCAAAATCGCGCTCCGAAATCGAAATCCGGTTCGTAAACTGTCATGCAGATTTCGGTCGACTGCAAGATTTGCAAAGCATGTGCACGGCTAACTCGTTGTCAACAGATATTTTCTAAATCTTTTCATGTTTTTAATCAAGGCGCTCGCGTGATTTGATGCACTTCGCGATGGAAGACTCGTTTTATCACAATATAGATCTTGATTATCGATCAGATCGTCTTGACTGGGCGCCACCGTTTTGTTTGAAGCAAATGCAAGTGGTACGAAAGGTTGAATCTGATTGGTCAATAGGAGAGGCATAGAAAAGACATAACTCGTAATAGCCACTGGTGGCGCTACGATCGAGCCCAGTAATTCCAGCCTAGTTCGGCAAGGGTGGAAACTGGACTTTTAAAGTCAGTTCACTCTCTTGCCTCGGGGAGATGGAGTTCACTGACGTGTATCGACACAGTGGAAGAGGCCACATGAGACTCTATAGGGGATAAGAAGCTAACCAAGGAAATGCTAATTAATCTGCTCTACACAGCTTCAGCAGCCTAAGTTGTAAACAGAAGATAACCCTATCATATGAAATTGTTTTTAGTCAGGACAACGCCATGAGTGGGATGGAGACTTTGTATTTCCTTCTCCATTCAGATGAGAAATGAGGATTAACAAATCAAACAGAGTGTATGTATGTTAGCAGTCATGTTCATATCAATGTCAGAATGTTGAATGCACTTGTTGCTGTCAGATATTTCCCGAATATACGCGGAGGTAGATTTGGTTACCATGCTGGCCACAAGTTCAAGGTTAACAGACAGAAAGATGACACAACATATTGGAGATGCACGGTTCAACACTGCAAAGGAACAACCCAGACCTCCGATGGCCTTCTGCAGAAAGTTGGACCCAACGCACACAACCATGAACTCTTTCCTCCACATACATGCCGTTGACGTGTTCAAGGCGAGACCGTTGTTCTTGAGAGGTCAAGAACAGAGACTACGCCCATCCCTTCCATCCATGATGATGAGCTGTCCGTCCTGAGCTAGAATGTCTTGAATCAAACTAATACGTATTTGGAAGGGGCAGATATTGTTGATGTTCACTACTCTAATGAAACCAACAAGCACGGGCATGTTGTATATACCAAGATGTATGATTCATTTGAATATGGGATTCGAACCCATGACACACGTCTATCGGAAGCTGAGTATACAATGACACATGGAGGAGGAGAAGGCAACATTTGCGTTGCAGAGTACATGCAGAAATGGGATGGCATCCTATCTAAGTCAGAAACGCGCGCATAATTATGAACAGACTACTATTTAATTTCTCACAAACTTTCTATTTAAATGTATTAAGGCTCACAAAAATGTTTTTTTTACTTATCCATGTTAGAGAACTCCAGGGGGTTGGAAGTAGCCCGATAGCACTTATCACAAAATGTTTCCTACCAATGCTTATCACAAGGGAATTCCTACAACCGCTCTATACATGTCAAGCTGTGTCGTACATACGCTAAGGAATGACTGGCTGTTCGCTCCCCAGAAGAACCGTATATCGTGTGATCATCAAATACAGATGCTTTGAAACGCTCTTGAAAACAAGATGCATACGATGTCCTGGCAGACATAAGCTATGGAATACGGGAATCCTACATGTGCGGCTTCAGAGAAGGAAACATACGACGGATATTTATAGTACTGCAGAATGTGTAACACGAGCTGCCTATAGCGTTCCCGACTAATACAGCGTTTCATAACTAACAGGGCACCTGCAGACCAAAACGTATACTCATCTGTCACATCTCTGTCATTGTTACGTCTGAATGTCGCTATTGCATTACCTACCACTGACGGATTGTACAGAGGGATGTTTTCAACACAGACAGTGAGGAGAAAGAACTCCACTTACACATGTCAAGTTCTGTCATCTTGGCGGTTTTACTTCCTCAGCTGAATGTGATCATGTTGGTGATGCAACAGATACGTGAGAGCATCATCAGATCTACTGATCTACAGATCATCATCAGCTGTTGTATGTGTTCGTCTGAAAGTGACTGCTGCCCAGTAGTCGGTAGGCCGTACACTCAAGGACCCGCTATCTAGTTGATGTATTTGTGTGAGTGGCAGGTGCTACCTGGAGTGCAGGATATGCATACCGTTCTCGCGAACACCTGGTGTCATCACTGATTTTAAGTGATCCATTCATATACTTTCCACTGCTATTTTAGATTTTACCCCAAATGGATTCTGTTTCGGCAGATAATCGAGACTTGTTAAGCTCTGGCCTTGACGTTTTATATTTACACTAAGCGATCTGAACCCTACTATAGTAAGTCTATGTTGGGAGTATGGGAGTACAAAGAGCGCTTTGCACAGGTGGACCCTGGGGACATTCCCGGACATATGATTGGATGAATTGTACCAATACTTTATCCTCGTGACAACATGTTTGGATGAGATACTATATCCTCCTAAGAACTTGACATATGACAATAAGTCGCTCCATCACTGCCACGGCATTGGACACCAATAATGGAATTCACATATTGTACCCCCGTGGGAATTTCATCCGGGCGAACGCTTTAACGTATATGATACCACAATTGTCCCTAACTTGAGACCATTTTCACTCACATAATTTTCACTACTATTTTGCCTTTTACGCCCAATGGAATCTGTTTCGGCGAATAATCGAGACTGGTTATTCGCCGGCGTTGACGTTGTATATTTAGATATTCCATCCATGAATGGAAAGACCGGAAGTCTCACCACAAAACACGGCAAAAATATTCGAAATATTCATGAGAATACACTTAAATCCATTCAGTTGTCAAATGTCAAGGTAACAGTCGAGGTCGCCCACTAATGGTTTGTTAACAAAATGATGTAGCCTGATCGGAAATGTACTTAAGTAGGTGTACATGATCTGAAGGATGGGGCTATATTTGACTGATTTGTGGCACATTGTCATGTCGGGTCATAGTCCCTGGATAGTAAGGCAATTTCCAGTCCGTAATATTGAATTATAGTCAGGTTCGACAACGTCACTTAAGGTCAAGGATTGTATTGTGTTATTTGATCTTGAAAGTCAAGGTCAACTAATGCGGGTATATTTCTTTGAATAGCTTTTACAACAGTGATAAACATTTGGAGTGCCGGTGTGTTAATATACTGAAGGAAACAAATAAGGGAACACATGAACGTACAAGAGTTCCTTAATTCTATTTCAGGTTAATTCACAAGCTTCGTACTGCACTGTGGGTGAAAATATCATATAAATAAAGGAACAATGTGATGAAGTGGTGTTCCCTTATTTGTTTCCCTCAGCATATGTCACTGTGTCCATGATACAGTCGGAATCGTACAATCGACTCTGCTCATAGGAGAGACTTCTTGTGGCTTTGGAAAGGGTTCTGTTGTGTTTATTTGGACAGTCACTGAAATATTCCTATTTATTATGAATCAGGTCAGTAGTGAACGGAGTTTCAAAAATCTGGAATTCATGGCTGTTGCAAAGGCTGACAGTGCGTAATGGTATTGGAATAGATGTGTGTTTGTAAGTGGTTAATGTCAAAGGTCAACATCAAAAGTGTCGAATTGGGCGCAATATCAGAACACAGAGACGATGGCGGTGAGTTTATGCCATTCAGATAGTTGAAACACAATTGAACATTTCTTTCACTAGGAAAATGACGCTGCAACATATCGCCAACAAACGTGTCAAAGCAGAAAGTCTTTAATATTTAATATTTTTGTTTTGTTTCTTGTTTTGAAAATAGATAAGCTTTGACAACTTGAAACACACACTTATCATAATGGTAATGGAGCGATGTGGTATTGCACAACCGTTATTCGTAATTAACGCCCTCAGAAAATACGCGTTTGTTAATTTCAGATTATGATGACAGCGATGATTCGAACTGACCAAGTCTTTTCTTTGTTTTAATGTCGCTGGTTTTGGATGGTGAGACCAGAGGTCAAAGGCCAACGAAGTTCCAGGTCGATGGGCAAATACAGGAAATGTACTCACTTGTAGAAATGTGATATCACGCTCGTTAAGATGTTGTATATCTTAAGAACATTATTAATTAATATTTCAGGGCCTCGTGCACTTCGATAAGGGAAGCCTTCCCCCAGTTGAGGGATTTTTCTCATTTGGTAGATGACAATTTAACGTTGATGCTTCAATGCCTTGAAACATCTACTTGATCACGACGAGTAGTTCTCTGCATACACCTTCTTTCCATACCAAACTAACATCAACCTTGAGCATAAAGGAGGATCCATTTGATTTCTATGGGGTGGGTGGGAAGATTGTTTAAATCAATAGATTCTTCAGAAATAGGCCAAAAATGAATAGTCTTTGGCAGTGATAATAATGAAAGTAATAGTGAAAATGAATAGATTGTTTG